ACCTGCAACCTAGGAGTGAACCGTGCACTAGGTTATCATTATCAAGTAGGGGCGGAAGGTTGACAACTAGGTTAACCGTCCAATTAACCGACCGGTTAGGCTAGCTCCGAAAACGAAATATCTGTAATAAGAGGGTGGTTGGAGAGTCCGGTTAACTGAATATTCAAAGCTAACTTAAAAACTAAGAAAAAAAGAATATGTGTCCAACGAGAACTGAACTCGTCGACCGACTATAACGCACTATCATAATTGAGATTGGAACTATCCGACGTTTTAACCAACTAGCTAAGCTACCAGGGACGCATATAATAGTTGATAAGTAATGAAATCATTGAGAAGATATTTCAGAGATTGCTGTTTTCTATTTGAAGAAAACATTTTCGAGAGTTGTGTCTCGAACATAAAATGCGGCAAAAATTTTCTAAATTTTATGTGTTGGGATCAGATTTTAAGAAATGTTCTTCATGGTGAAAAACAGTAAATATGATTTGTACAAAGTTGAGTCCGTCAGATAAAATTTAGGAACAAACTTGCTATGTTTTTGTGTCTAGATTCAACTTTGGAAAACTCTTCCTTCATCGTGCAAAATAATATAGCCAAAACGGTGGCATTTGCGATTTTTCACGATGAAGGAAGAGTTTTTCAAAGTTGAATCTAGACACAAAAACATAGCAAGTTTGATTTCCTAAATTTTATCTGCCGGGCTCAACTTTGTACAAATAGATCTTCAAGGAGAAAAATCATATTTACTGTTTTTCACCACGAAGAGCATTTCTTAAAATCTGATTCCAACACATAAAATTTAGAAAATTAAATTTGCCACATTTTATGTTCGAGACACAACTCTTGAAAATGCTTTTTCCGGACAGAAAATACGAGAAGCAGAAAAGTACTACTGTCTCACAGGATCAAATCTGCAAAAGAGTTGTGCTTTTCTGCTTCCTTACTATTCCTAGTAGAATTGATTTATAACTTTCCCGAAGTGTCCTTGCTGTTTAGAGTTACGGTTTTAAAAATTCTGTTGAATGCTCGACTCCTAAAAAGCAATGGATTTAACCTAGCTGGTTGCGTTTGATCTATTTGGTGTCGAGAACTAGCTTGACCGGTCGGTTAAGTAAGCGGTTGGAGCTAGATCAAATAGAGCTAGCTCGATCGGTCGCTTAAGCGGCCAGTTAACCTAACTGATAGCTTCCTTGTGTTTGATCTATTTGATGCCGGGAACTAGCTCGATCTGTGGGTTAAGCGGACGGTTGACCTAGTTGATAACCTCCCCAACCACCCAAAAGTGGGTTGAACCGCCAGATCCTAGGTTAAACTTTTTCAGGTGGAGTTAGCTTAACCGGGTGGAAAACCGTGTTACCTAGCTCCAACCGCCCGATTCTAGCTCATTTTTTTGCTTGGGAAGTGCCTAAGCATCTATTTCATGAGTAGATAGGGTAAAGCGGAAATTGGGCAATTAGAATTTGGGCACCAGATTTTTGACATTGTCCAAATTCCATTATAATTTCGACAAATTTCGAAAGAACAATGGAATTTGGACAATACTGTCG